GTGTGCGCCTGTTGGTATATGTGTGCGTGTGGGGGCGGCGGAGGGAGAAGGGTCTTGGGCCGCATCTCTCTCCTCTTTAGACAGAGCCCTGGAGAAGATATGAAATTTAAAAAAAAAATCAATTTTCATTCCACTTGTGCAGATTGTGTTAAGGAGAGCTGGGGGCTGGGTGAGGGATGAAGGGGCTGGGGAGGGGGTGAGGCCCAAGGCGGCTCCCGAGGCAGCCGGAGCAGCTTAGAGAAATCAAAACAACTGGTTAAACCCCAGCCCAGGGCCCCAGCGATGGCAGGCGGAGAGAGACATGGAGAGACAGAGAGGACAGAGAGAGACAGAGATGCCCAGAGACAGAGACAAGGAACAGAGACACTGGGAAGCAGGTGTCCATCGGGAGAAGAGGCGGCCAGAGAGATGGAGCCGCAAGACCATTGGTGAGAGAGACACTGATACCTCGTGGGGTCTGAGGGGCCCAGAGACCTGTCTCTGGAGAGACAGCACCAGAAGCAGGCCTGTTCTGGTGCTGTCTTTACAGCACAGCTCACATGCTCACATGCATGGGCACACATGCACAGCTTATGCTCATATGCTCACACAGAGACATGCAAATCTCACACACACAGGCACACACAGAGACAGCGTGCACCTTGCATGCATGTGCATGCATGTGGAGACTGTGCATCTTACACATATTAGTGCGTACACAGAGACCACACACCTTACATGTAGGCGCACGGACACAGGGACCACACATCTTACATGCATGTGCATGTATTCACAAGACCACACACATCACAAGCACGTGTACTTATGCAGAGTTGGCACACCTTACACATGTGTGCATGCACTTAGGCTTGCACATATTACATGTGTGTGTGCGTGCACACAGATAGCACATTTACATGCATATGTATGCCTACAGACTATATAACTTACATGCATGTGTGTGCACGCACAAAGACTATACAACTTACATACATGTGCGTGCACGGAGAGACTGCACATCTTACATACATATGTGCATGCAGAGACTGCACACCTATGCGCACAGAGAGACATGCTGGAGAAGGGTGGAGTGGATGGGTGGACAGGCAGGCAACTGGACAAATGGCAGCAGGAGCAGCGGGGTCCCAGGTGGGGTTCCCTCTGAGTGCCCGCCCCATTCCCACGCAGCCCCCAACACAGACAGCCCAGGTGAGTGCCCCGTGTGCTTGTGCCCCCATCTTCATGCGGTGCGGCACATGTGCACGCAGGGTCTCCAGCGCGAGCCTGTGTGACCCTGTGAGCATGTACTTGTGTGACTGGCTGGGCTGGTGCGTGCCTGGGCCTGGTGTGTCTGCTTCTGTGTGGCGTGGTGTGGCATCACTCAGGTCTGTGTGCCTGCGTTGAATGGTGGACCTTAGTGAGAGCAGTTGTGTCTGCCAGTGTGTGTGTGTGTGTGTGTCTGTGATTTGGGACTGTGGGTCTTTGTTTCGGTGGGAATGTCTGTGATCATGAAGTGTGACTATTTTGACAGTCATGTCTGTGAGTTTTGTTTCACATAAGGCATGTGTGCCTGAGTGGCTGTGTGGGTCTGTGTGATGTGTGTTGGTTGTAACAGTCTTTGTGCAAGTGATTTTGTTGACTCATGATCACACATCTGCATGGTGTGTTGTGTGACGTTCTGGTGTGTGTCATTTTGCTGACCTGGGTCTGTGTGTTTTGTGACCTTGTGGTGTGTGTTATTTTGCTGAACTGGATCTATGTGTTGTGTGATGTTGTGTGCTGCTTTGCTGACCTGTGTCTGTGATGTGTTGTGTGATGGTGTGGTGTATGTTATTTTGCTGACCTGGGTCTGTGTTCGTGTTGTGTGAGATTGTGGTGTGTGTTATTTTGCTGACTTGGATCTGTGTGTTGTGTTGTGTTGTGGTGTGTGCTGCTTTGCTGACCTGTGTCTGTGTTGTGTTGTGGTGTGTGCTGCTTTGCTGACCTGTGTCTGTGATGTGTTATGTGACGGTGTGGTGTATGTTATTTTACTGACCTGGGTCTGTGTTGTGTTGTGTGACGTTGTGGTGTGTGTTATTTTGCTGACCTGGGTCTGTGTTGTGTTGTGTGACGTTGAGGTGTGTGTTATTTTGCTGACCTGTGTCTGTGTTGTGTTGTCTGACATTGTGGTGTGTGTTATTTTGCTGACCTGTGTCTGTGTTGTGTGATGTTGTGGTGTGTGTTATTTTGCTCACCTGATCTGTGTGTTGTGTGAGGTTTGGTGTGTGTTATTTTGCTGACCTGGGTCTGTGTTGTGTTGTGTGATGTGGTGTGTGTGCCTGGGTTGGTGTGTGGGTCTGTGTTGTGTGTGAGGTTGTGGTGTGTGTGCCTGGGTTGGTGTGTGGGTCTGTGTTGTGTTGTGTGATGTAGTGTGTGTGCCTGGGTTGGTGTGTGGGTCTGTGTTGTGTTGTGTGATGTGGTGTGTGTGCCTGGGTTGGTGTGTGGGTCTGTGTTGTGTTGTGTGATGTGGTGTGTGTGCCTGGGTTGGTGTGTGGGTCTGTGATCTGCGTGGCAGGGAGAGGAGGGAGGCAGCTGCGGCCTGCCCAGCCCCACTCTGACTGCTGTGTGCACACGCACACGCACACACGCACACACATTCGGTGCCGTGGCTGCGGGCGGTGGAGATGGGGTGGGGGGTGGAGGAAGCAAAATAAAATTAAAAATTAAAGCTTGCCCGGAGTCCCCATCCGCACAGCGGCCGTGGGAGCCGCAGGGGGGCAGCTCCCCCTCCACAGCCACCCTGGCTGGGCTGTCTGTCTGTCTGTCTGACTGTGGGGCTGTCCTGCTGGACCCCTGCCCGCCCCACAGCCCGGCTGGAAGGCCCCACTCTCTCCTTCGGTCGATCAGTGATCAATGGGGCCAGGAGGGCGCCAGGGGCAGGGCGAGATCAAAGGGGCCCCAAGAGATGGACACTGGGACGGAAGCAGAGACACAGAGACAGACAGCCCTGGAAACAGAGACAGAGCCGGGAGCCAGGACGGGGAGCAGAGACGTGGGGGCCCGAGCGATATGGAGACACAGAGCTGGGGGTGGGGGACATGATCCAGAGATGGAGACATGGGGATCCGGAGACTCAGGACCTCAAACCTGGAGAGTCCAGCCAAAATGAAGGGAAGGGGACAGGAGGGAGGAAGCAGGGACGGCGGTGGGCCTGACAGGACAGAGGCGGGGAGAGACCAGAGATGAGGAAGTGGCAGGCAGAGACCAAGAGACGGCAGAGACGTGAGAGAGACGTGGGGGGGGGAGCGTGGGAGCAGGGCCTGGAGCGCCGATCCCACGGCTCCTCGTTATAACGTGTCCGGAGGAGGCGGCGGGGAGTTGAAAGCATCGGGAAGAGAAATCAAAACCAACACGGAAATGAGAGGGGCCAATGGGGGGGGGGAGGGCGGGGGGAGGTGGGAGGGGACCCAGAGAGGCAGAGCAAGCCGGGGATGTGGGAGAGGTGGACCAGGAGAGGTGCGGAGTCAGGGCGATGGAGGGAGATGGGGAGACAAACGGGAGGGAGATGGAGAGAGAGAGACAGACAGACAGGGACAGACAGGGACGGGGTGGGCGCAGAGACAGAGATGGGAGAGTTAGAGGGAGAGAGAAGGAGGAAAGAGGTGGTGGAGAGAGACGGAGCGAGAGACGGGAGATGGCAGAACTGGGGAGATAGCGAGAGAGACGGAAGGGTTGGGGCGGGCGGGGAAGACAGAGAAACAGGGCAAAGGATTGAGTGGAGGCAGAGACAGAGAGATGGAGAGAGACAATGATAGGGAGGGAGACGAGAGAGAAGAGGGAGAGAGAAATGGGAGAGAGGGTGGGAGGAGACAGAAGGAAAGAGACCGAGTGAGGAAAGAGAGAAAGAGGGAGAAAGTTGGGCAGAGGGAGCCGAGGGGCAGAGGAAGTGTGGGTGTGGGACTGGCCCCAGAGGGGCTCGGAGGGAGGGGATGGGTGGGAGGGGCCTCAGTAGACTCCAGGCCATGGGGTGAGGGTGAGGGTGTGGGTGACTGGACAAGTCTGGGGGGAGGGAGCTATCCGACACGTCCTGTCTGGTGTCCACAGGGAGGTGGGCTTTGGGGGAGCAGGGTGCCCGTGGTTTCTGAGGGATATGTGAGATCTTTGGGGAGCAGTGGGGTGTCTTAGGAGGACTGTGTATTTAAGGGTATGCGGGCTGAGTGTCTAAGGAGGGGGTAGGATGGGGTGGGGAGGAGGGTGGGTGCCTGGGTGGTGGGTGTCTGAGGGGCGGGGCTGCCAGGAGGGGAAGGCTCTGAGAGAGGGGCAAGGAAGGGTGGGGCACCTCGGGGAGAGGCGGTATCCGAGGAGGGGTGTCTGTCTGCGGAGGGGTCTGGGCGGGAGGACGGTCTGGGGGAGGCAGCGCTGAGGGAAGGAGTGCCTGAGGGGGAGGCAGATCTGAGGAGGAAGTGGCGCCGGGGAGGCAGGTCCGGGTGGCGGGCGGTGGGGTGAGCCGCAGGTGGCAGGAGGGTGTCTGGGGGCGCCGGCGGCGCTGGGGCTGCTCTGCCTGGGTGGGCGGAGGGCAGGCCAGCCTGTCCCCTCCCAGCCGGGGGAGGGGGGCACCCGCCCTGGCGGGCTCTGGGCAGGTAGAGGAGAGGGATGGGGTCAGCGGGGGGCGGGTAGGGCGAGGTTCGGGAAAGAAAAACGGGGGGCAGCACAGAGACAGAGGGAGAGGTCAGGCGCGAGCCGGGGACCAGGGACAGCGGCGGGGACGGTGCGAAGTGAACGGGGAGGAGCGGGCGGCGGCTGGCGCAGCGGAGCCCGGTGCTGGGGCAGAGCGGGAGGCTCCGGAGGCTCCGGAGGGCAGGATCGCAGCACTGCTCGGGGACAGGGACCGGACGGGGCGGAGGGTGCCAGGGTGGGATGTGGGGGGAAGGCAGCCGGCGTCGGCGGGTTGGGTCTGGGCGCTGACCGCCTGTCTGTCCGCCCGCCCGCCCTGTCCTGTCCCCGCGTGTCTGTCCCGGCCTCTCCGCAGGGCTGGCTCCACCATGGACTGTAGCTGCGTCTCCGACCTGCTCTTCGCCCCGCCCGCCCTGCCGGCTCTCTGGACCCCCGGTAACTGGCCCGGCCCCCTCCCCCGCCCCAGCCCTCCCCCAGCGGCCCCTCCTGGTCTCCCCCTCTGCCCCCCTCCCACCCTGGGCTCTGTCGGAGTCTCCTGCATCCAATTCCTTAATGAAAAACTTGGCGAAAAACTTCACAGCCAGATGTCCCTGCACCTGCCAGTGGGACGTGAGGGTCTTTAGGAGGGTGGGAGGGGGTGGGGTCTGAGCGAGAGGAACACGGGTTCAGGGTCCTGAGGTCCCGGGAGGGGGGGGGCGGTCTGCTGAGCACATCTCAGCCTACTGTCACCAGGGACGGGCGGGCAGGGAGAAGCGGGGGACTGCCTCAGCGGTGAACCGCTCCCCTGGCCCTTACCGGCCTGTGGCATGGCCTGAGGCATTCCTAATGGGCTCCGGGCGCTGAGGCTGGGCGGCCTGGGCCTCAGCGCTGGGTCCCTTTCTTGCACAGGCGCTGATGGAGGGTGGGTAGGGGGAGACCAGAGGGCATAGGCCAGGGGCTGTGCACAGGGACAGACAGGACCACCCACACGGGGCTTGGAGCTCCGGCCGCTGGGCCCTGGGAGAAGGCTTGCTCAGAGGATGCTCAGGATGGGGACGTGGATAGTCAGACCGGCTTGGGTGTGCATTTGAGTGCAAGTCACACGCCCCACAGATGAGCTGTGAGTGAGTGAGTGAGTGTGTGTGTGTGTGTGTGTGTGTGTGTACGTGTGCGCGCAGAAACCTGTGCCTGGTTATTTGGGGCTGTGGAGTGTCACACTGAGTGTTTCTGGAAGAAGGGTCACACTGGATTGTGTGTGTGTGTGTGTGTGTGTGTGTATGTGTGTGAGCTGGTGTGCCTTCTGTGCTGCACAGCTGAGGCTACCTGGGGGCTCCGGGCTGGGCGTGTCGCACTCTGTGGCACGCCTAGTGTGTCTGTATTTAGGCCTGGTGGGGGGGGAGGGTGTCTGCCAGTTGCCGAGTGCACCTGCCTCAAGGGCTGAACCCTCTGCCCGGTCCTTACTAGTCTGTGGCATTCCTATGGGGGCCCAGGTCTCGCCTCAGTGCTGGGGCTGTGTGTTTGTGTGTCGTTTCTTGCATCTGTGCCACTGAGTGTGACTGAGTGTTGCAGACTGTCTGTCAGTGTGTGTCCTTGTGCTGAAGTGCGGGGTCCTCTCCCTAGGGGTGTGTGTGTGTGTGTGTGTGTGTGTGTGTGTGAGCAGTCACCACACAGGAGGGCCATGGGCCAGGGGCTGTGGACAGGACAGACAGGACCATCCAGATGGGGGCTTCGTGACCCGGCCCAACGGCCGGAGCCCTTTGAGGACAGGTGTGTGTCTGGGTCGGGTTGTGTACTTGCCTGTGTGGCCAGTTGCGTGTCATCTTTGGGGCTGTGTGTGTGGTGTCTGTGATAGCCGCATCCCCACTAGGGTGTGTTCTGGGTGTGGACTGGGCCAGAACCCCGTGTTGATGGAGCCCTGGGTCTGAGGTGAGAAAAACCCCAGATGGAGTTGAGAGAAAACGCTCCCTTTGGGGAGGAAACTGCCTGGCTTCCCGGTCCCCGGCTCAGGCAGGAGGCCTTGTGCCCAGGTGTAGACACCAGGCAGCCTGGCCTCCCGCCCCTGAAGCCCTCGTAAGCCAGAGGGGGAAGGCGCGGCCGGACCACACAGCAGTGGACACAGGCGTCTCCCAGCTCAGCCTCGCTCACCTCATTCCCTTCCTCACACGGCTCTCCGCTCTACAGGCCAGTTCTCCCTCCAGGTTTTTGTTTCGTTTTGTTTCCCTGCCGTGTGTTTTAATGCCGGCCTGGGTCTCTGAGGGAGGGAAAGCGGATGGAGGATGTGGCCGGGGAGTGAGTATAGGGTCTGGGGCTTCCCAGGTGGTGAGGTTGAGGGGTGAGCAAGCACATTCCATCCCCGCCACCCCCAGCACCCGGGCATATTTGGGCCTCGGGGTGCAGAATGCCATGGGAGTATGGGGAGCTGAGTGAGCTGTGGGTGTTACAGAGTGGGGATGCCTGGGGGGGCAGTCTGTCATGGTGTCACCCTGTGCGTGCCTGTCAGGGTGACACGTCTGTCTTGAGGCTGCCTCCCTGTCTCCCCCACCCGCTGTCGCATTGGGTCTTTGGGGGCCTGTGCTTGTCGTCGTGGCTGGTTGCAGTTCCCAGGGGCCTGAGGAGCTGTGTGATTGTGTTAGGGTGAGTGTGAGTGTGCAGTGTTGGGTGCTGGTGTGGCACATGGTGCTGGTGCGCTGGGCCAGCAGGCATGTCTCTGGGGTAGCAGGGGCCCTCGGGGTGAGTGGACGTCTGTGTGACACGTTGCACAGTGTGGGGATCTGCAGACACACGGCTCTCTGGCCGGTGCACGGATGCAGGGAGGGAATCCAGCGGCGTGAAAGGCATACATACATGACAGACGTCGAGACGTGTGCGCAGGCCCAGGGAGGGGCTGGCCACGAGGGGAGCTTTGGGGAGAGATGGCACAGGGCGGCGGGGGCCGGCAGGAAGGAGGCTGAGAGAGCAGGAGACCTGAGGCCGTGGGCGCAGGCCAGGGCGGGGGTGTGTGCCATGGAGGGAGAGGGCTAATGCCTTCCCTGAGGCCGGCCCTCCCAGCTCCTCCCCACAGTCAGGGACAGGACGCTGGGCCTCCTACCCTCCACCCAGGACGCTGAACCTGGGAGAATTGTGCCAAGACAGGGACCTGATGCTGAGCGCTCTCCCATTATGGGGCGTTTGGGGACCAGAGAGCCACTGGGGTGTGGAGTAGGAATTCAGTTCTGAAAGATGCCTGAGGCTGGGCAGCTGCTCATGGGGGTGTGGGGGGGAGGCGGGGGGTGCCTCTGGGGTCCAAGCAGGGCCGCTCCTGCCTGCTGTCCCCAGGGTTTGCCTTCCCGGACTGGGCCTACAAGCCGGAGTCGTCGCCCGGCTCGAGGCAGATCCAGCTGTGGCACTTCATCCTGGAGCTGCTGCAGAAGGAGGAGTACCAGGGCGTCATCGCCTGGCAGGGGGACTACGGGGAGTTCGTCATCAAGGACCCCGACGAGGTGGCCCGGCTCTGGGGCATCCGCAAGTGCAAGCCCCACATGAACTACGACAAGCTGAGCCGCGCCCTGCGGTGAGGCTCCCTGGGCCTCGCCCCTTCTCCCCTCTGGTCCCCCTGGGCCCCCAGCCAGGAGCTTCTGGTTTCCTGGGCAGAACCCCTTGATCAGGCTAGGGCTCTCCTTGGGTCTGGGGGGTCTACCTACATCCCTGAGTGTGGGGCAGGGGAGGAGACAGGGCACCCACTCGGGGCTCTGGAGACACACAGGCAAGACCCCAGCCCTGCCTCGCTCTGGGACCTCGGTCAGGGGGCTCCTGTGAGCCTCAGTTTCCCCAGCTGTGCTCTGTGGCTGGCAGAGCATGGGCCCGGGACCCCCCTCCACCTCGTCCCGCTCTCCCCACAGCTATTACTACAACAAGCGGATCCTCCACAAGACCAAAGGCAAGAGGTTCACCTACAAGTTCAACTTCAGCAAAGTTGTGCTCGTCAACTACCCTCTGCTGGACGTGGCGGCCGCCACCACGGGCTCCCCGCTCCTGCTGAGCCCGGGTCCCTTTGCGGGGGGCCCGGGGCCGGATGCTCCTCCCCTCACCCCCGAGGTGAGTTGGGATGAGGGGGGCTCTCAGAACTGGAGCATCTGGTGTCCCACAGGCCACGGAGCCCCTGGGGAGGAGTGGCTGGTCTGAGCAGCACCGCCTCCCTCACCTCCCCCTCCAGACCTTGCAGACCCTGTTCTCTGGCCCCCGCCTGGGAGAGCCAGGGGCACGGGCAACCCTGTTCACCCCCGAGACGGACAAACTGCGTCTGGACAGCCCTTTCCCATTCCTGGGCTCTGGTAAGGGCCTGGGGTCCCGGGGGTGCCGGGTGGAGGGGTGCTGCAGGGGTTCTAGGGAAGAGGATGGGCAGAGACAGGATGCAGGAAGGAGGCGGCGAGGCTGCCGTGTGTGTGTGTGTGTGTGTGTGTGTGTGTGTGTGAAAGCTGGAGGCTTTGCAGGGTGGGGAACGGAAAGGGGGATGAGCTGGGAGAAGGGCTTGCAGGGGTGCTGAGGGAATGGGAAGCCGCATGAGGGTGGGGACAGGTGTGGGAGGGACAGTGGGCACAGTGCGGGGGGGCTACAGGAGGTGGGTGGCACCCTTTGCTCAGGCCCGGGCGGGCAGCCTGCCTGTGGAGCCCTGGCCCAGCCCAACCCACCCCTGTGTCCCCAGGTGCTGCCGGCTACTCCAAGCCCCCGGGTCTGCTGGGTCCATACAGCCGAGCCTTCCCCGAGTACCCCTGGAACTTTAACCCCTACCTCGCCGGCCCCTTCCCCAAGCTGCCCGCTTCTCTCTACCCCCCCCACTTCTACCCCAACCCTCTGGCCAGCTCCCTGGGCCACCTGCCCTCGGCCGGGACAGGCCCCACGACTGCACCCCTCCTGGCAGCTGCAGGGGAGGGCCTGGGCTCCGAGCGCCCCTCGGGCCTGGCAGCGGCCCCCCGCCTGGCACTGCCAGGGGCTGGGGGTCCAGAGACCACGCTGGGAGGGAAGGAGGACAGCGACTCGGAGTTGGAGATCACGGACGTCAGCGGCTGCAGCTCTGACAGCGAGGGTGACGAGGGCCTCCCGGTGCCCCCCAAGCCCAAGGGGGGTAAAGGGGGGCTTGGCAGCTGAGCCGGTGTGGGGGACGGGCTCTGCTGGGGCAGGGACCGGGGCCACTGCCCGTGCAGCCTCTGTGTCCGGTTCGCCCTCGATGCCCTGCCAGAGGCCAGGGACAGCCCTCAGCCCCTCCAGGGCAGGACACCGGCTGCCCAGTCACTGCCCCAGCCCCGGGCTGGGCCTCCCCTTCCCCTCCAGAGGGCGAGGGGACGCGGCCTCCAGCCTCCTCCCAGGCTCCGGTTCGAGGGGGCCCCGCCCGGCCCCACTCCCTAAGTGCAATACGGTGCCCGGCCTCCCCGCCCGCCCCCACCCCCGTGCTGTGACCTGTGTGTGTGTGTGTGGCTGTGTGTCCCCTGTGCCAGCCCGTCCTGACACCCTCTCTACACAGGCCCCCTGGGGACAGGGTGCTCAGAGCAATAATCCCGCCCCCAGCCCCCGCCCAGGAGGGCTCCCCTCCCCACCCGCTCCCCGTGACCCCAACAGCCACCTCCAGAGTTTACTACAAAAATAAAAGAGCAGAATGGAGTGTGGATGTGGGGTGCCCAGCACTGCGGGTGACCGTGGGGGTGAGGATGGGAGCTGGGAGGGGTGGTGGGCGTGCCTGGGGGAAACGGTGAACACACGGAATGAATGAACAAGCGGAGAAAGGCCAGAAGCACGGAGGCACGCGGCGGGTCTGACCCAGGCAGGGGAACTCCGGACACCACGCCAGGTCCTCACAACACGGAGCTCTCCTTAGATAATATATATTAAAAATAAACTTCCAATTCAGGATATAAAAACAGAGCAAAGGCACTTGGGGGTGGGAGATGGGGGGGTGGCCCCCCAGGCAATACTGGGACGGCTGGGAAATGGTGATCACTGTGGTGCCCGGGGAATGAAGCCCTGAGTCCCCCAAGCAGAAGGCCAAGGCCAGCGGGAGGATGGAGGAGGCAGTGGTCCCGGCTGGACCCCCTCAGACTCGGCCCGGAAGCCCGCGCCCTGCCGTGGGCCCTCGGGGGCATACGCTGCTGCGGCCGTGCAGTAGTGGGTGGTGGTCCGCCCGTCTCTCCGACGTGCAGAAAGCCTGGGGACGTGGAGAAAAGCAGGAAGGAGAGCGATGGGGAAAGAAGAGGAGAGGAGGAGGGGAGACAGACACGGAAAAGGGGGAGAGAAAGGGAGGGTGGGGAGAAAGCAAAAAATGGCCTGAGAAACAGAAACTGACAGAGATGGCGAGACGCAGAGGTAGCTGGGGAGATTCAGAAAGAGGAAGACGGGGAGAGGAACGGCTGAGGAGGGGGCCCCTGGCACCCCTTCTCTGGCAGTGCCCGGCCCCACAGCTCCCCATTCACCTGCCTGGGGCCGGGAGCCTCAGGTACAGCCGGACTGGGGGACAGTGTTCTCTCCCAGCTGAGACAAAGTGAGTCGCAGGCGGCAGAACTCTTCCTCCACTTCCTGTTGGGGAGTCATCCATGAGGGGGGCCCTCACTGAGCCAGTCCCCCCCTCCCCCCCGCACCCCATCCCCTCTGCCTGCCACCACCTCCAGCTGCTTAATGGTCTCCTCCAGGCCAAGCAGCTCCTCTCGGATGTCCTGGGTCTGTGCGGGGCTCAGGGGGCCGCCCCCGGGGACCCCGCCCCCTTCAGGGGGAGGCCCCGCCCCGCTGTCTTCCTCTGCGGGGAGCAGGAGCTGCTTCAGGGACAGCACTGACGGGGACAAGGGGCCAGAGTCAGAGGCTGGGCTGGGGTTGAGGTGGGGGATTCAGAGGGGAGCAGGGGAGAGGCGAAGCCAGGGGCCTGTGGGTGGGAGGGTGGGTGCCGGCCAGGCTGAACTTGGAGTGAGCCGGGCCTGCAGATGGAGCTGGGATGCATAAGGGAGTGCATAGGCGGGGCTGGGACCCGGTGGGAGGGCACCCAGGATGGAGGTGGGGCCGGGGAGACGGGACTGAAGGGACAGAGCTGCAGAGGGGCGTGGGGCGTGTGTGCGGCTAGCGCAGCTTGTGGTGGTCAGCCCTGCAAGGAGTGGGGGGACCTACCTTTCTGAAGGGCTTTGGCAGCGAGCTGGCCCTCGGGGCCGGGCCTGCAGAAGGGCAGGAGGGCGCTGAGGGTCCTCTCGATCCGGCCTGTGTGGGAGCAGGGAGTGGTCAGGTTCTGCCTGGTTCCCGCAGACACCCCCTCCCGCACTGGAGGCCCCGGGCTCACCGTCCGTGGGCGGCATCTCTCGGCCGCCACCGTTGCCATTCTCAGAACTGCTGAGCAGGGGCTCGCGGATGCTGGGGGAGGAAGTGCTGGGTGACCCCCACACCCTTGACCTCGGGGGAGGCAGGGGCAGAGAGGGAGACAGGGGAGGTGGGGAGACCGAGACAGAGGTCAAGGCTGGGAGGCAGGGAGACAGAGAGGCCCGGCCAGTGGAAGGCAGAGGCCTGGGTGGGAGACAGGTGGGCTATGGTGGGGCAGCACACACACACACACACACACACACACACACACACACAGTGTACACAGGTATGCACATGGACCAAGGCTAGAGCTCAAGCTCTGGGGACACACGAGAAGCCAGGCCCAGTCCCCCAGCCCTCCAGGTCCTCCCTGCCCTGCTCACCTGCTTGGACTGGGCCGGGGTTTGGGGCGGGAGGCGGGGGCAGGCACCTTGAGGGATCCGGCGGTCTCCGTGATAAGGGCACACCAGCTGGGGAGACAGGCCAGCAGCTGGGCAGTCAGAGCCCAGATCTTGTGCCAAGGCCCCCCACCCTCACCCTGCCCCAGGGGACTCAGAGGCCGGGCCCTCCTCCTCCAGCTGTGCGGCCTCCACCCCCTTACTTCTTCCGCTCGGACACGGTCTGCGCCACCAGCTCGTATATCTGGGCCTCTTGGTCCCAGGTGAAAATGACATAGAAGGCTTTGTGGTCTGTGAGGGGAAGAGGGGGGCTCAGAGCCAGGCAGCCCTCACGGAGGAGGAGCCCTCAGGCTCCTGGACCCAATCCCCCTCCCGTGTCACCCCCTTCCCCCCCATGTGCCCTCCTCCCGCCTTCCCTCTCATCCAGCCAGGCAGCCCCTCCCCGCCGCCCTGGCCCTGGGGCAGCTTCGTTTGCAAACCCCTTGTCCCTGGCTCCCAGCTCCCACTCTGCACCCCTACAGCCCCAAGAGCAGCCAGGTGTCTCCAAAATGGAGCTGGCCGCCCGTGAGCTCCTCCAAGCAAGCCCAGGGCAGTTCCCATCTCACTCAGTGAAGCCCACAGCACGGCAGGCCCCGCCCACTTCTCGGGCCTCCAGCCTGCCCAGCCAGGAATGCGAGATCCCCGGCTCTTTGGAGGGTTCCGTGCCCACTGCCTAGGCACCATGCCCCGCGCCCAGGGCCGGGCCTCACCGGTGGCCACCTCGCGGGTCATGGCGGAGGTGAGCCGCAGCACCGGCCGCAGCATGGTCTTGCCGTCGGGCGTTGGGGTCAGCGTCCGGCTGTGTGACTTGAGCAGCAGCCGCTCGTCCTGGCGCTGGAGCAGCAGCAGCAGGTCATCCAGCAGCAGCACGTGGACCTCTGCAGGGACACGGCCCTGCTCAGCACCCCTGCCTGAGCGTCCCCCCCACCCCCACCCCGCCAGGCCCGGCCCTGCTCAGCACCCGGCCTGGGCGCCACCCTCCCGCCCCCAGGCCCGCTCGCCGCCCGGGGCTCACCCACAGCCTTGTCCCTTGTCACCCGCCATGTCAGCGGGCCCTCGTGCACCAGCTTCTTCTTGGTGATGTCCAGGTTCTGGAGGCGGGAAGGGTGACAGTCAGTGCAGGACAGGGCGGGCGGGTGGTGGAGATGACCAGGGGCTGGGGGTCAGTCAGGGGTCAGGGCAGTGCTGGGGGAATGGGGAGGGTCAGCGTGGACGGGCTCTTGGGATCCCCAGGACATCAGAGAATGACCAGGCAGCAGGGCCAGGGCCGAGGGAGAGGAGGCGAGGGCAGGCAGGGTCACCTTGAACTCGCTCAGCATGGGGTCACTGCTCTGCCGCAGGTGGGACAAGTCCAGGCGCCTCTGGTAGTCCTTGAGCCGCTGGAGCAGGAGTAGAGTCATTAAGTACAAGCCAAGGGCAGGGGCCACCCCACCCCGTCCCCCGGGAGACAAGCCCAGGGAGAGGCCTGACCTCCAGTAACCCTAAAGGGAGGAGCGAGGGTTACTCAGCAGAAACGGCCCCGTGACGGCGGAGCCAGCTCACCAGCAGGTCCTCCATGTCCCGCACGGCCTGGTTGACGTGGTGCAGGATCTCTCGGCAGCACTCGGCTGCCAGCTCCACCTTCTCCCGCTCCGCAGGCTCCTCTGTGGGCGAGGGAAGGACAGGCCTGGTGAGCTCAGGCCTGGAGGCTGCCGGTCCCGGCCAGGGTGGGAGGTGGGAGCCAGGCTGAGAGACCGGAGCGCAGTGGCAGTGGGCGGGGCGTACCTGTGTTCTGCGCGATGCTCTGCAGGAGCAGGGGGTACTTGGTCAGACGCTGCATCTCCGTGGGGATCATGTCCTTCAGCTGCAGGCGGCGGCACCGCGGGCGGCTCTCGGCCTCCTAAGGGGGCGGCAGCGCTGAGGTGGCCCACGCCTGGACCTAGCCTCCGGGTCAGGGCACCAGCCCCTGCTCCCTGGACCACGGCCCAGCGCCCGTCGCCCCGCCCCCACCCCCAGCCCGCCTCACCTGCACGAAGGCACAGAAGCGAGGCTCCTTGCGCTGCTTGGCTTTAAGCTGCTCTAAGGCGAATGACTGGCGGCTGCAGAATCGGGAGGAGATTTTCTGGAACCAGGAGCCCTCGGCACCATCAAACTACAGCGAGATCCAGGCCAGGGGGTGTCTCAGCTGGGACATTGGAGCCCAGACAGAAGGACAGGGCTGGGGTCCAGGCCCTTGGCTTCTGGGTCCCTGGGGGGGCGGGTGGGGGGGGATAGAGGGGCGGAGCCGGGCAGGGCACTCTCACCCGGGCCAGCAGCACATCTCCAATCTCCTCAATGAGGTAGCCGCTCTCCTGCCTCCGTTTCATCAGGCGATCGAGGAACAGAGCTGTGGGGGACGGTCAGGATAGGGGGTGCTGTCAGGACCCCCAAGATTGTCTATAGAGCCTGATGGGAGCTGGCGGGGGTGGGTTGCAGGTGTGTCTGTCTGATCCCTGGAGCCAATGGGCTGTCCACCTGGAATTTGAGCTCCAGGGGTCGGGGTGGGGTTGACCCCAGTGCTCGACTTGGGGGTCTAGGAGAGCAGGCTAGTCCCCCAATTCTAGGCGCAAGGCCTCAGAGGGGGAGCCCAGTGGTGGGGAGGGCAGGAGGGCAGGAGGGCCTTGGGCAGGGGGGTGGCAGGCAGGAGGGAGGCGGGCAGGAGGGCTGTGGGCAGGGGGGTAGCGGGCAGGAGGGAGGCGGGCAGCGGGGCAGCGGGCAGGAGGGCTGTGGGCAGGGGGATGGCGGGTAGGATGGAGGCAAGCAGGAGGGAGGCGGGCAGGAGGGAGGCGGGCAGGAGGGCCTTGGGCAGGAGGGAGGCAGGCAGGAGGGCCGTGGACAGGAGGGCCGTGGGCAGGAGGGCCGTGGGCAGGGGGGTGGCGGGCAGGAGGGAGACGGGCAGGAGGGCCGTGGGCAGGAGGGAGGCAGGCAGGAGGGCCGTGGGCAGGGGGGTAGCGGGCAGGAGGGCAGCGGGCAGGAGGGAGGCGGGCAGGAGGGCCGTGGGCAGGAGGGCAGCGGGCAGGAGGGAGGCGAGCAGGAGGGAGGCGGGCAGGAGGGCCGTGGGCAGGAGGGAGGTGGGCAGGAGGGCCGTGGGCAGGAGGGCCGTGGGCAGGAGGGAGGTGGGCAGGAGGGAGGCGGGCAGGAGGGCCGTGGGCAGGAGGGAGGCGGGCAGGAGGGAGGCGGGCAGGAGGGCCGTGGGCTGGAGGGCCGTGGGCAGGAGGGCCGCGGGCAGGGGGGTGGCGGGCAGGAGGGAGGCGGGCAGCGGGGCGGCGGCTGGAGGGCCGTGGGCAGGAGGGAGGTGGGCAGGAGGGCCGTGGGCAGGAGGGCCGTGGGCAGGAGGGAGGTGGGCAGGAGGGCCGTGGGCAGGAGGGCCGTGGGCAGGAGGGCCGCGGGCAGGGGGGTGGCGGCCAGGAGGGAGGCGGGCAGCGGGGCGGCGGCTGGAGGGCCGTGGGCGGGGGCGGCGGCCGGCACTCACAGTGCACCTCGATGAGCTCGTCCAGGCTGGGGAAGATGTTCTGCAGCTCCTCCAGGGGGAAGAAGCCCCCGTCGGCCATGGGCTGGTAGAAGAGGTCATGCAGCACCCGCAGCATGCGCACGTGGGCCGCCTCGGTCACCAGCAGCTCTGCGGGCCGGCAGGGAGGAAGGTGGTTGTCGGGGAGCCAGCTATGGGCAGTGTCCGAGGCAGGCTGGGAGGAGGAGGAGGGAGGGACGGACGGGGACAGCCCTCTCGGGGTTGAGGTCATCTGCCCGAGATCGCACTGAGGACATGCCCACCCGCCGCCTCTCCTTTTGGCAGCGGCCGCCAGCCAGGGCGACCGACGTGTCCCCATCTGTCTGGCACCAGGCTTCCCAGGACATGGGTGTGAGTGCCCAAACGGGGAGAGTCCCGGGCAAGCCAGGACCACTGGGTCACCCCACGGCCAGCAAGCGGGCAGCTGTGTCCCGAGGCTCCCCACCCAGCGAGGGAGTCAGCCTCGGTCTCAGAGACACGGCCCTCTGCTCTCAGGGTGGCAGCTCAGATGCAGGGCCCACGGCGTGCCCAGCGCCAGGCCCTGCAGCCCCTTGGTGCGGGCTCTGCTGAGAACCTGCTATGCTTCGGATTGGTAGCCACTAGCCCCGTTTCGCTCAAGTACTAATTAAAAGGGAACGAGACACAAACCAGTCCTCAGGCGCACTCGCCAAAGTTCAAGTGTGTAGCAGCCACTGTGTGCCCGTGTTGCACAGGCAACATCGGCATTTCCATCATTCCAGAAAGTTCTGAGAGCACTGCTCATGTTTCGAGCACGATCTTAGGAGGTTCTGACCTACAAAGCACTCGCCTAATGCTTTAAAAATCCTGAGTGAGTACCTTCTCCAAGTAAACTTCCAAACGAGCTCCCAACCGCAACTCTTTTTTGCCAAATCTCCTTCATACGCACAATTCAGAACCAGAGAAAACAAAGAAAAAACGAGACTCCCTCACCTCCTCCCAGAAGCAGGCAGCCCTTCGGACACCTTCCGGCTCTTCCCACGGACCCCCAGCGGCCGGACTGTGTAACAGCAGCTGCTCTCGGCTCTCACTCCGCCCCACGGGTGCTAAACACCCCACGCCAACGCCCCATCCTCTGACAGCCCTGAGACAGGAACATCACTGCCCACGTCTCACAAACAGGGGGGCCAAGGCCGCGCCAGAAACACAGGGGCACATACAGCCCTGCTTGCAGCACCGTGCCGTCCGCACTACTCCCACCGTGGGGACCGGCCCTGCCAGCAGCACCCTGGCTCGGAGCGGCCGTCCTCAGCGTGCGTGACGGACACCTCCCTGCGGAGCAGGCCTGGTCCGTCCGTGGTCACACGGCGGCAGGAGGGCACTCACCGCTGATAACCTCCTGCCGCTTCACCTGGCTCTTGGGCAGGCTGTGCAGGGTGCCGGGGGGCACGAGCTCCCGCCAGCCGGGGGGTTCCTCTGGTTCCAGCTCCAGTCCCGACCGGCCCGGCTCACCCTCCTCTCCGGGCTCGGGGCTGTGGGACAGAGGCCTGGTCAAGGCCCGGCGTAGGGGGCCCAGAGAGGAGACCTGCTCCTAGTGCTCCCCTCGCCCCCAAATCCCCCACTCCCCATCCACTCGTCTTTAGCACCCGTGTCCCAGGTGGCCATGCTGCAGAGCAGCCCCCGATTTATAGGAAGAACCGCCCTCCCCTCCCTGGAACCACTGCAGGCCCTCAGGGACCTCAGCATCCATTCCCAGTTCTCTGTGACTGTCACTGACCCCCTCTCCCCGCCCACCCCCCCCGACTCTCCGGCTGACTCTGGGGGGGTGTTGGAGTGACGTACGTGGCTCGTCGGGCGGGGCCAAGCACGGCCGTGGCAGAGCTGGGGTCCATGTCCACGTCGCTCCGGGAGCGGCCCCCACCCCGGCCCTTAGCCCCGAGGCTGCCCCGGGCAGGCCGGCGGCGGTCACTCACCCGCAGGCTCTCCGAGCGCCCCAGACGCCCCGACAGCCTGGACCCCGAGGCCAAGGATAGAGTCAGGACAGAGACGAAGAAAGACCAGGACAGGGACAGGGACAGACCAGGACAGGCACAGACCAGGGACAGACCAGGACAGGGACAGGGAGAGACCAGGACAGGGACAGACCAGGGACAGACCAGGACAGGGACAGGGAGAGACCAGGACAGGCACAGACCAGGACAGGGACAGGGAGAGACCAGGACAGGAACAGACCAGGATGAGGACAGAGACAGACCAGGATGGGGACAGGGAGAAACCAGGACAGGGACAGGGACAGACCAGGACAGGGACAGACCAGGATGAGGACAGGGACAGACCAGGATGGAGACAGGGACAGATCAGGATGGGGACAGGGACAGACCAGGACAGGGACAGGGAGAGACCAGGACAGGGAGAGACCGGGATGGGGACAAAGAGAGACCAGGATAGGGACAGGGAGAGGCCAGGACAGGGACAGGGACAGACCAGGATAGGGAGAGACCGGGACGGGGACAGGGAGAGACCAGGAGGGGGACAGACCAGGACGGGGACCAGGACAAAGATCAAACATGCAAGAGAAGAGAGGAGTCAGAAGGAGCAGTGGCATCTAGGGGTGCCCAGTAGGGGTTGGTCAGGAAGGGAGGGGAACCCAGTGTGGAACTCAGGACGGACTCCTCCCTTCCCTGGGGTGGGGGTGGGGGCAGAGCCAGGAGTTGGGGTGGGAGAAGGGGGATTTTAATACTTAGCTCTTTGGTTGGGAGGGTGATGTCCCCACCCACCCCTCTTAGGGGTGAAGGGGAGTGGGTGGCACGTGGGGATAGGGGAGGAGCTGGGAGAAATGGGGGAGGGGCTAGCCCTGCCCCCTGACCCAAGGCCCAGGCACCCACCTCTTCCACCTTCTGGGGAGAGAGGGGCACAGGGTCAGAGGTGGACCCAGAAGGAACCCAACTCACCTCCCCCACCCACCAAAGGGTCCCCAAAGCGGCTGCACAAGGACGGGCAGGGGGCAGAGCCTGCCCCCCCAACTGTGAGGGGGACAGGGCCCCCAGGCATGAGCACAGAGGACTGGGGGGCTGAGGGAAAGGGCACCAGGAAGCAGGAGCAAGGCGCGGGGCTGAGGCTAAAAGAGCAGAGGGAGGGATGAAAGTGAAGGAGTGGGGGAGAGGGGCAGGCTGAGGGGTGAAGGGCGAGGGGAGGAGAGGGAGAGTGGGAAGAGCAGAGGCAGATGAAAGGAAAGAGGGAGGAGGAAGGAGAAATAATTGTAAAAAAGAAGAGAAAAAGAAATGAAAGAGATGACGAAAGGGAGATGAAGGAAGAGGGAGAAGACAGAAGGGAGAGAGCAGGACAGAGTGGAGATGGCTTGGGGACAGCAGGCGCAAATGGCAGCAAGACCCCACACCCATCCTCCGCCCCGATTCCGGCGCTCAGCACCCCCAGAGCCCGGCCTGGGTACCTCTCTGTATCAGGACCCTCCTCGGTGCTCTCCAGGGGCGCTGCGGGCTCCAGGCTGGTGGGGCCCTGCGGGGGCGGGTCCCCCAGCTCCGGGGAGGCATCACCTGTGGGGTATGGGGGGGCAGAGCAGGGCTGGCTGGGAGGCCCTCTGGCCCAGACTCCACTCTGAGGGTGTTTCTTCCACCGTGGAACGACGGCCAAAGACCAGCCCCTACTGCCCCATCTAGTGCCCGGCAGACACCACGTGGCTGTTCTGTATGCTCGTGGGGGATGGACAGACGGAAAGGCCTCTGAGAGCACGGATGGGGCCCACAGAACTGGTGGGGAGACTGGATGCTGTGCTGGAAGCATCCATCTGTTCTCCTGAAGAGGACAATACACCCCATGTAGAGATGAGGAGGCTGAGGCTCAGTGAGGGGTAACTGCCAACATACAGGGAAGGCAGGCCTCAGAGCTGGGCTTTGGACACGGGCTGGCTGAGCAGCTGAGGTCCCAGGGGCTGAGCCACAAGAGGATTGTGAGAAAGGAAACTAATAGGGCTGGTGGCTCACCCTCTAAGGGGGCGGATTGGCCATGTACTCAGAGAGGGTTCTGGGAAATGAGCTCATGGGGCTGATGGGAAATGTAGTCCAAGGATGTGGGAAACATCACCAGGACAGAGGTCAGAGCCTGGGAGGAAAGCCAAGGAAGGGGTAAACTGAGGGAAGGGCGGTTCTAGGATTGGCACTGGTGCCCAGGAGCAGGGGGACATGTGGGGTAACTGAGGGCTGCTCTGGAGACCAGGAGACCCACCTGGTTCCCGGTCAGGGCTGTCCCCGGACACAGGTTGTAGTGAAACCCCAGGGGAGTCCTGCCCAGAGGCCCCAACATTCCGGTCCCGGGAGGGCACCCCCAGGCCTCCCTTTCGTTCGGTGAGGCCTGGCTTCTCAGCTGGGGAAAAATGAGGGAAAAAGGGGGAGATGAGAGCTAGTAACACATCCACAGCGGCCGGTGCTGTGCTCCAGCCTTTCCTCTCCACCCAAGACCCTCCTCTTCCTGCAGCCCCAGGAGCCAGCCCAGCCCCCTCCGCCCTCAGCCCCATCTTCCCCTCTCAAGTTCCCCAGATGGATGCTCTGGCTTCAGGAACATTACCATCAACTTCTGTTTTGAGGTGTCGAAAATCTGGGGCTGAAACGAGAGATGGGACCAATGGGACCGTGAGATGGGGGAGGCGGGGCAGTGGGGGGAGAGGGGCAGGTGGGGTGGGGGGGGAGGGGAAGGTGGTGGGGGGAAGTCAGGGTGCGAGAGGCCGGGCGCCTCACCCTGGGGCTCTCCCCGGTTCCATCGGGCAGCGTCCAGGAAGCTGCTCAGTCCTTTCTTGGTCTTGGTGGGCTCATCTGACCGCCGGTTTCCCATCACCTGCGAGAGGTGGGGAGGGCAGAGGGGGCTGGTGAGCCACCCACACAGAGGAGCTGGGCCAGGGCAGAGTCAGGGGGGCAGCCCTCTGGGGAGGAACGGCCCAGGTCTGATCTCTCAGGGAAGCACCTTTTTCCGGAAGAAATTCCTGCCCGATTTCTTGTCCCCGCTCTTGGTGCGCACCCCGAGGTGGCGCATGTACAGGCTGATGGCGGTGACCACAGCGGCACTGCGGGGAGGGGACGGTGAGGACCCACACACTGACCTGCACGCTGCGCCCCCACAGCCTGACCCACCCCCACCCCACAACCACTTCCTGCTGCACATCTCAGAAAGGGGCTAGGGCTTCAGGGGAGGAGACCAGAGACGTGACCGAGCCCGGACCCGTGCCCCAGCCTCCTCCCTGGGGCCCAGGAGACTAGAACGCCTGTCTTGCTGTCTCTGCTTCCATCACCTCTTCTCTTCGTCAGTAGAGATGGTATGTCTGTGAGGAAGGGAGAGAGAGACAAGCTTGCTAAGCCTGGGTTAGTCCCCCCCCAGCACAAATGTCCACTGGCTGTCCCTCTGAGGCTGGGACAGGACAGGGGAGAGGCAGAGAGGGCACTGCCGAGGCAACTGGGAAGGAGAGAGATGATCTCACCCGGGTGCAGCCAAGGACAGGAGTGGCAAGGACAAGACCCAAGCGCCAGGCCTGAGTATAGTTGGACAGGCCTGGAAACTGGGAGAGACCCCACAGTGGGGAAGAGGAGATGAAAAGCCAGGTGAACTAAAATGCCGGGCTGTGGGCCCCAGAGGTCAAGGGGCGATGCTAAGACATGGACATGGCGCTGCGGGGAGGGGTGGGGGGTGGGGTTGAAAGGGATGGGGCAGCTGGGGAGGGGCCGGCCCACTCACTGCATCTCCTCCAAGTGGGCCAGCAGCCGCTCTGCCACCAGCCGCTCCCGGGCCTCGAAGTTGGCGCCCCGCCCCACCCAGGCCTCCAGCTGCGTCAGCTCCTGCTCCCAGGGTGTCATGCCCATGAGCCGCTTGGATCGGAAGTCCTCCAGCTGCCGGCTGATGGCGGCCTGCTGGCTCTGCACCACCTCCTGCACGAACTGCCGCTGGCTGTCCTCGGAGATGAGGTCAGGCCGCGTGCGGTCTGCAGGGGTAGGGGTGTGGGCTGGAGGCCAGTTTCCCGGGCCCGGGGTCCCCACCCACCCCCGGACTCCAGCAGGCACGCTTCCTTGGGCTGCTGCTTCAGGAGGAAGACAGGAGTCTCCACTGACCAAGACCTCGGTGTGTGCCTCCCGCCCTGGGCCTCCGGGAGGCCTGGACCTGCTAGAGCCCTCTCCCTCACCCCAAAGTCCCCACTCGTCTCCTTACCAAGTTCAAAGGCGACAGCCGAAGGGACAGACACCCGCAGTACCTGCTCAGGGGAGAGGATGGGGTGAAGGGGAGGACTGGGCAGGGATGGGAAGCAGCGGCAGGAGGAGGCCAGGCTGGCACAGGGCTCCCCAGCCCAGGCTGTCCTCACATTGCCCTCAGCAGGATGGGGGTTGGGGTGGCTTTCCAGGGACAAAGGCAGGGGGACCGGGCCTGGGAGGTGCCTCTCACCGCGGTCTTCTCCAGGAAGCTGTGGTAGAAGTCGAGGAAGGCCTTCTTGGCTTCCTTAGGGCCCAGGGAGCCCAGCATGTCCGCGTGCAGGCAGCAGAGCTGGGGAGACAGAGGCGACCTGTCCTCTCCCAGCCACCCAAACCGCACCTCCGCTTGGGAAACCTCGGGGCTCAGGTCCTCTAGACATGTGCTCCCTGATCTCCACAAGCCGCTCACCCAGGCCTGCCTCTCAGCGGCCTCCCCGGGGCCACCATGGGCATCTGGGAAGTGCTCCCCTGTGGAGTGGTTTTCTGTGGCTGTCTGCTCGCTGCTGCCACTGCCACCCACACCTTCTAAACGCTTTGTAAACAGGAACCTGTTAGCGCTTAGGGGCATCGCCAACCCATTTCACAGATGAGAAAGCTGAGCTCAAGTTCACTGGGGGTCACACAGCTCGCAAGAGGCAAAGCTGGGACGGGAACCCAGGCAGCCCATGTCCACTGCCTAGAGAGGCTGTGAGCGACCGGAGGGTCAGTGTGGCGGGGGCGGGGTGTGGGCTGACTCCTCTGTGTCTCAGCAGGGCTGGGGCACGGCAGGCCCGGTGAGGGGCTCCCTTATTCACTCATGAAGCACTTCCTTGGACTATTCTGTGCTGGGAGCCCCGGGCAGTGCAGGGGGGGGGGGGGACTCCAGCCAGTCCTGACTCCGTGGGGCTCTCGTCTCAGTGCACTAAGTCTAGCCCACTGGGGGGTGGGACTCCGTAAACACCTGCAACAACTACGTCACCGCCCGCCCCCAACCCAACCCAAGGCGAAAACCCCATGCAAGGCCCCTGGGCAGCCTCCCTGGACCACAACAACCCCTCCGACCCCTCCGCTGCTCCTCCAGCCACCGAAGTGGGGGAACAGCACGAGGATCCGTCCCAAAATGCCGAGGCCGTCTGATCGCCTCAGCCCAGCCCTGGCCCTCGGGCCTCAGGCTCTGCTGTGGGAGGACGTGGCAGGCAGCACCGTCCCTGGGCTGAGTCCCAGGCGCTCAGTTCCAGAAACCCCAGGCTCAGGAGGCCAGGATCTCCAGGCACCAGGCACTTTCCTGGAGAGAAGGCAATTTCCAAATCTCCTGCTGGTTTCTGAAGCTTCTGTGTCAGTCTACGTGCCCTTCTTTCTGCATCCCCGGGCAGCCCTCGCTGGCACTGCCTTCAGCCTCCTTGTCTTCTGGAGGGACCTGTTGGGCATTCCGGTGCAGCCCGGTGCCCTGGGCTAACCCTGCTCTCAGCCTGTGCGGGCTGCACGGGGCTTCGTGGGAGGGGCCGCTGTCCACCGAGCTTCTTCCTTCCTACACCACCCGTGGGGTCCTCTGGATCCCAGGGGTCTTACACAGACAGCATGGCTCTGCACCTGTAGCTCTCAGGGGTTTTCAATCCAGGCGGCTTCTGGATCCTGGATTACCTGCCTCGAGGGCTGCTTGTGGTGGCTGCTTGTTTCTGAACCAAGGCTGGTGCACCAACTAGATCCCAGGAGGCTGATGGGTGCGCCCAGCCTGCCCTGACTGGCTGGCGGCACCTCCAAGGCCACGGAGAGAGGGGTCCAATTTCTGGAGTCCCTGGGGGAGTCCCGCACTGATGGGTGACACAGTCACAGGCACCAGAGGGGAGGGGTGTGGTTTCTCCCCGGCTCCCGGATTCTGCTGCTCTCACGGCCCTGCGCTGTGTGCTCTCCCAGCCTGCACCCAGAGCTCACTGAGATTCATCCAGGCACCTGCAGTCCTGTCTGGTTCACACGGAGGTCCCTCTGGCTCCCTAATTCTAGATCTGTTTTCTGGATCTGTTTTCTGGACCCTCCTGGCTCATCTTCACTGGCCTAACACATGGACCACTCTGCCTGGCCCGGCCCCACCCTGCCTGCGCCCACCCAGCCCCATCCTCACCAGGGGTCCCGGCTCGAACTGCAGGGCCACGTGCTGCAGGAGGGCCATCAGGTGGGCTGGACGCCGCTTCACCTGCTCCAGGCTCTGGAACTGGCTGTTCTGCTCCTCTGCGTTCTGAGGGTGGGGGTGGGGGTGAGATGTGGGGAGAAGAGGGGCCTTGGGCTGACCCTGCCCCCTCCCTGGCACTTCCCAATGGCTCCACGCCGGGAGGGGGTGTCTGTGCTGTAGAGGTGGCAGCACGGCAGGTGAGAATGGAGAAGGTTCAATGTTATGACGAGAGGAGATGAGGATATACGTTACACGGGCTGGGATGGAGATCTCTGCTGTGATTGCGGAGCAGTGATAAAGTCGGGGTTAGAGTAAAAAGGGTGGGATCAAGAATGGACGGGGAGATGAGGAAGAAAGCTCCACAAAGACGAGAGAGAAGAGCATTGAGAGGCTGCAGCGGGCCAGCATCTGAGGATAGAGAACTGGACCCGAGGTGGGAGGGGACACTGAGGATGGGACGAGGGGCGGGGGCCCCAGGGACAGAAGCTCTCCCACTCCAACTTCTCACCGCCTCCAGTTCGTTCTCAAAATCCTCGTCCTCGGCCCCGATGATGCTGACGGGCACCAGGCCAGGCCGGGGGGGCCCTGGGGCCTGGGGAAGAGGAAGGTTGGCTTCAGCCCATGGTGCTCCCCACTCACAGCCCCCCAACCTCCTCACTCCTGGGCTCTCTCCACTCACCGCCCCTCGGACCACGACGTTGTCTGCCTCCATGGGCTGTGCAGGGCTGGGGAAGAGGAGGGGCCGTGGTTAGGGATGGGAGGAGGTGGCACAAGAGGTTACTCACAGATTCCTGGCCCAGGTGTGAAGGTGAGTAAACAGCCTTTCCCCATCTGGGCCTCCCCCGCAGCTCAATGGGGCCTCTGTGTGGCGACAAAGAGCCCTTCAGAGGCCAGCCAGGGCGGGGAGCCCGAGGACAGGGAGACTTGTTGGGGGAGAAGCTGGAGTCCCAAGAGCCTGGGTCCATGAGAGAGCTGTGGCCATGACAGCCTGCAATTTTGGGGTCCCTAATGAGGGGGCTGGACCTAAGACTCTGGGAGGAGGAGCTGGGGGCCTGGACTCCTGGGTCTGGGGAGGAGGAGGGGCTGGGGGCTGGGCCCCGGGGAGGCAGGGCGGGGAGGCCAGCAGAGTTGGGAAGGTTAAAGGGGAGGTAGGAGGTATATAAATGGGGTGTGGGGGGGCTCTCTTCTGATCTGTGACAGGCTTGGGGCAGGATGTTGCCTCTGAACCCACCAGCCCCACTTCCTGTGACAGGAAGTCACAATGGCAAACCCCTCAACCCCCAACTCTCCCCGCATAAGAAAACAAACTCTGAACCCCAACCCGAGCGTTCTTTCCCTCAGCGTTCTTTCCCTCGAGGATCTGATGCATATTCTGGTCTCCAGTCCCAGAAAAACAAGGAACAGTCCTCAGACAGCTCATCCCCAAGGTGTGTCTGTCTCCTTCGCCTATGTCAGTCTTGCTGGCTCTCCTTTCTCCAGATAGCACTCGCGGGCTGTATCTCCCTTGAATCTACCTCATCTTTGCCTCTCTCCCTCATTTTCTCTCTCCCTCCCCCAGACCTGTCTCATCCCCGCCACGTCCTCTTCTCTGCCTCTCCTGGACCCCATCCTGCTTCTGTTGCTCTCTGCTTTCCCCCTCATCTTTCACTGCCTCTGTCTCCCCACATTGGGTTCTGTAGCCACTGACCCTGCACTTCTCTGAATCAATGTTTCATAACTTCTTTTTTTTTTTTTAAACATATTTTATTGACTTTTACAGAGAGGAAGGGCTAGGGATAGAGAGTTAGAAACATCGATGAGAGAGAAACATCAATCAGCAGCCTCCTGCACACCCCGCCACTGGGAATGTACCCACAACCAAGGTACATGCCCCTGACCGGAATCAAATCCGGGACCCCTCAGTCCGCAGGCCAACGCTCTATCCACTGAGCCAAATCAGTCAGGGCCCATCTCTCTTCTTCCCATATCATCTCCCTTAAGAGTCTCCACTTCTCCCTGTGTCTTTCCACCGATATCTTCTGTGTCCTTAATTAATCTGACTAATGTCACAAGAGCCCATGACAGGCAGGAAGAGCTGTGGAAACAAGAGTGGGGTGGACCAGTGTGTGGGGGGGTACTTCTCCCCACAGCCCAGAGCTATTTATAACCCTAGCTGCCTGAGACCCACCCTTCCCCCTCTTCCAGAGGCCTCCTCCCTGCCACTCAACAAATGGTAGCTATGATTTTGATTATGATCATTAAACAGGGATGCTTCCTGGAGTGTCCAAATGCCACCCCCGGGTTCACCGGAGCAGGCATCATTTCTATTCTTTTCCATAAAGGGTAGGTGTCCAATATCCACAGCTGAGTAATTTAAGATCTGAGCACTGTTAAACGTTCACGTAAATAAGGTTGCATACCAAGGCAGAAAAAAATAATAGTAATTATTTATCTTGAGAGCTGAACTCACATAGCACGAGCAGGCTGCCAGCACTGCTCCGAGTGCTTCTCACATGGAACCTCAGCCCTCACAACAGCCCATGCTACTGTTACTCCCTCTGGAGGTGGGAAACCTTCACTGGGCTGCCAGCTGCAACTCCTGGGCTAGAAAGCATGACCATGAACACGGAGAGTCCATGCTCATCCCACTTAGAAGTGGACAGGTTCAGCAGAAGCAGGGAGATTCCAAAAGAGCACAGGTTATCTGAGCGAATGCCAGGCAGGCACCCCGGCCATGCACTTGGCATATATTATCTCCTTTATTCCTTGCCACAGCCATGAAACAATGACTAAGGCTTAAAGTGCACTAAGTGCTGTTAAGTGGCAGCATTACTGCTTTATAGGTATTAGCCAACTTAATCCTCTCAGCGACCCCCAGAGGTCATTATCATCACCCGCATTTTTCAGAGGAAACTCAAGACACAGCTCTTGAGGATAGAACGGGACCCAGCCCGGCAGCCTGGCCTCAGAGTTTATGGATTAACTACCAGAAAGTGCTGCTTCAGAGCATGGGGAACCCCACCCTTAGGAAACTAGAATCTGAACCGAAGCCGAGACACATGAGGTCTCCTTATGGTCTGGGAAAGTCAGGGATACGTAGGCACTTAGGCCTGGCAGGAATGCAGGCTGGACGCTGCTGTGCCACAGAGGGTTGGGGCTGAGGGAGGATGGGGGAGCGAGGGGCTTAGGGGACAGGGGGAATGAGGGGCTACCACAAAGGCTGAAGCTGTCAAATGGATCAGTAGGCAACTGACAAGGCCTGAGGTCCAGCAGGGTGGAGATCATAGAGCAAAGCTGGCACATGTGGGGGGCAGCATGGGCACCAGGGTTCTTTGCAGGGCTCAGAGTCCGTAAGATAATGAATGGATGATCCTGGTCTCTAAGAACCTCTGGGAGACTTGTAGAACCTAAAATAGAGTAGTCAAGGGGATTCCATCTGACACATGGTGGGTCACACATGACCATGAAACCTTGGAGAAAGTAGCTAGTCTATGGGATCTCTGGAGATTTAACAGGGGACCAGAATTCTTTAGGGGCCTGTGGTGGTCCCTAAACCCAGGATCTATAGGGCCCTGGATTCTAGGGGATGCTACTGGTCCCCTAGTTGGGGACCCCACGTCTGTAAGGAGCCGGGTCACCATAGGGGGCTAGCAGAAACTTGGGGGGCGTCTGTAGAATCTTATATCTGCATGGAACGTGGCGGGTCTACATGAGCCCCCAAAGCTATATGGGACGTGGCGGGTCTCTACATGGGCCCCAAATCCCACGGGGAACGTGGCGGAATGCACTTCTAGGGATGCTGGGGCGGACGTGCGGAGTCAGGGTCTGACGCCCGCGGGGGCCGCGTCCCTCACCTGCTCCGGGTCGGAGAAGCCACCGCAGCTGCCAGGACCGAAGCCTCCGCGCGCCGGCTCCTGGTCCCCCACCTTTTCCCTCCCCTCCCCAGCCGCTCTAGCCGCCTCCGAGGCCCCCTTTGAGTCTAACTCACTCCACTCCTCCCACCAGCCGCTCTAGCCCGACAGGTGACTCTATTCCTCCTGCAGGACGCTCTAGCTCTCCGCTGCGCCACGTTGGCCAGATGGGACCGCTCTGGCCCGCCGTGGAGGGCTGGCGTTTCCGGGTCTCGACTGCTCCCGTCACTCCCCTGGGCCCCGCCTCCTCCCGGGCGGGAGGTGAGGAGGGTTCCAGCCCGGCCGCCGGGGCTCAGTCCGAGATCTCAGGGTCACCTCGGCCCTCCGGCTCCCGGACGGAGCTCCCCACCCTTATCTCACCTCCCTAACTCGGAGATCAGTTCCGTTCCCAACGCCTGTACACGAAGTCTCCCCGCATCCCACCCCCACCCCACCCCGCACCCTTCCCGCTGATCGGGAAGGCAAAAACCCCCGGGTTCGAGCGGACCTTTCCCTCGGACATACATGCAGTGTAACCCGGAGTAAGCAATGACTTCTTCCCGAGCCTCAGTCTTCCCATCTATGCAATGGGCGCAGTCCGCCAGCTCCGTCCCCCCCGCAACCCAGCTCTCCGGGTTATAATGAGTGGCCCAGGGGGGAAAAAAAAAAAGAGAGAGAGAGAGAGAGATTCCCAAAAAACCGCTTGCAAACAGCTCTCTGCAACTGGCAGCTTCACAGCGGCCTGCGACGCAGTGAACTGTCGTGCTTTTTCCTCCCGGGGTCCTGAAGCAAGCGGGTCAGAAGGCGGCGCCTAGCGCGGGCAGCGCCGCGAGTTCAAAGCCCAGCTCCCCTGTCTCTGGGCGAGTCGGCGCTGCTCCCGGCTCACGGGCCTCAGTTTCCCCACCCGCACCGCGGGAGAGACCTCCATCCTCCGCGGGGCAGTGGGAGGCTTTGGCCCCGCCTCCACGCCTCTCCCACGCCTATTGCCCTTGACAGGTATTCGCTCTCCTGGTTTTGTCCCTTTGACAGGTGGGAAAACTGAGGCCCGGGGAGCGGCGGCTGCCGAAGCAGCGGCGCCCTGGAGGCCCCTCCGCCGCCGGCCGCGCCCCACCCCGCCATCATCCCCCCTCCCCGCCGCCGGGGGGGAGCGGGCGGGCGCGGGCCGTACCTGCTGTCCGCGCGGGAAGGTGGCCGGCGGGCGCCGGGGTCGGGCTCGGAGATCCCGGCCCGGAGTCCCGGCTCCCGCTTCCTGGCTCCGGCGGGGCAGGAAGTTGGGGCGTTTTTCCGGAGGCCCCCGCCCCGCCACCCCTCCCCGCTTCCTGCCCGCGCCCCGCTCCCGCCCGGCACCTCCGCTTCCTTCCCCTTCTCGCCGCCCGCCCGGCCCCGAGGGCGCCGCCCGCCCCGCCCCGCCGCGCCCGCCGCGCCCGCCGCGCCCCGCCCCGCCCCGTCCTGCGGTCCGGCTGTGGGTCTGCGGGGCCCGGTGTCCGCCGTGCCCTCCCGGCTGCAGCCTCTCCCTTTCCGTCTGCCTCTCCGTGTTTCTGTCCGTGTCCGCCCTCCCTGTGTCTGCTCTCTCTCCGTCCTGGTCCCCCCGCCCGTCCCCTCCCTCTCCATCACTTTCTCCCTCCGAGCCCTTTCCCATCTGGGTCTCTGCAGAGCCATCCGACTCCTTCCCCACCTGTTGATTCCTCTCTAAGCCCGTCTTTCTGAGGACCCTTCCCTCCTTCTCTTTCTGCGGTCGCTCCGAGTATGTCCTCTCCCATTCCCTGTCCTTCACTCGCTCTGTCTCTGTCTCTCTCACTCTCTGTGTCTGTCTTTCTCCCCTCTATCTCAGAAACTGCTTATCTGTGCCTCTGTCATTGCCCCCTTTCCCCAAGCCAGGGCCACAGACTCTCCAAATCCCCGGCCACAGCCCACTCCCAGACAACAGGTATGGCCATAGGAGAATTCAGACAGTCCCCTGTGATTCTGAGACTTAAATGTGCATAAATAAACGTCCGTGGTCACCTCCATTCCCTCCTGCCCCCTCCCCCCCTCAGGGAAGACATGCCTGGGGTGGAGACCCCTGCAAGACACCTCTGCTCCTTTCAGGGGGCAGCCGAGATGGGCTCGCTGCTCTCAGGTAGTGGGAGAGGCAGAGGCGGGGGAGGGGAGTGGAAAAGGGTGGAAGGGGGAAAGAGTGGGGCAGAATCCTGGGACAGGGGGAGGAGGGGACTAGAGGCATGGACTCCTGGGTCCCAGGAGAGCAGGGTGGGTGGTCCCCATGAGATCCATGACTCCTGCCAAGGTCTGCAGTTGGGAAGCATTTATTATAACTAAGTGGCCTTGACAAAAGCAGGGAGGGGGAGGTGACACGGAGGCTGCTACAATCAGTCCCCTAGGGGCAGTGATTAAGGCTCATTACCAGTGGGGTCGGTGGCGAGTGGCGGCGAGTGGGTGGGAGCTTGGGGAAGGCGGCCGGCTGGGAGAGGAAGGAGGAGGAGCGGACATTCCCCAGGGGGAAGTTGATGCAAGACCCTCCCGGGAATGATGGTGAAAGAGCTGGTTCCCGGGAGTGGGGGAGACACTGCCGCTGGGAGCATGGCAGACAGGGGCTGGTCACGGCTTCTCCAGCTGGACGTCTCCGATGTGGAGGCTGCCCACGTCCTGGTAGGTGCCCTGGAGGCCCCGCGAGATGTCCTCGTACATGGAGCAGTCATCGAGGTTCAAGCCCTGGGGTGCACACGGGGTGGTGGGCCTCTCAGTGTCCGGATGCCCTGGGCCCCTCCTCCAGAGGCCCCCCAGGAGGCCCCCCAACGCACCTGCTCCTCCCCTGGCCCCACCCTCCACTTACCTCATAAAGATTTTCGTCTTCGTAGTCATCCCGGGGGTCCAGTCCGAACTTCAAGTTCTGCCATCGTTTCTGTGGGGGATTGGGAGCCTCAGTGGGTAGGGGGTATGTGTTCGGGCCTTTCTGGATGCCAGGAGGTGCTTTCCCAGAGCCAGCAAGGGACCTTGCTCAAAGCCACCTGTTGGGTAAGTGGCCCAAGCCAGTGTTCTGGCTGTCTCCGCGGCCCAGTTGTTCTCCGTGAATAGCAGCACCCGTGGTGAAAAGCGATGGTTGCCCTGTGGCCTAAAGAAACTGCAGCCACATGCCGAAACCGGTTTGGCTCAGTGGATAGAGCAAACGGCCTGCAGACTGAAAGGTCGCAGTTTCCATTCCGGTCAAGGGCATGTACCTTGGTTGCGGGCACATCCCCAGTAGGGGGTGTGCAAGAGGCAGCTGATTGATGATTCTGTCTCATTGATGTTTCTAACTCTCTATCCCTCTCTCTCTTCCTCTCTGTAAAAATCAATAAAATATATTTAAGGAAAAAAAGGAAAAAAAAGAAAGAAACTGCAGCCACAGACACCAGGAGGATCCCCAGCCTCCATCTTCCCTGGCCTTGGCTGCTGTGTCTGGAGAGTAAAGCACCCTGAGCGGGGAGGGGGGTGGGGGTAGAGTGAGAACATTCCTAGACAAGGGCAATGATGACAGCCAGCCGAGGGGAGACGGAGCAAGGGCAGTGCCCCTGGCACCATGTAGTCTCCTGTCGTCATCGTCACTGTGCTCATCTGGGTACCACCCTGCCCCTGTGTGGCGGGGCTGTCATTCTCCCGGGTTTTGGGTGGGGACCCTCCGACTCCAAGGGGCTGGGCCCGGGCGGCTCACCCTGAACAGCAGCAGCGTCCCGGGCACCACGGCGCAGAAGAGCAGGATGATGCCCTCTGCCGTGATGATGTTGTTCTTGGTGTCCTCCCCCATGTCCAGGAAGGCTCTGGGGACCGGCTCTGTGAGGAGGGGGTGCTGCTCAGAGCCCTGGTCCCTGGCCCTGCCCCCAGCAAGGCCCCCACTCCACAGGTGAGAAATGGGTAAGTGTGTGGGAGCCGGGAGCAAGGATGCCCGAGATACAGGCACTCACTGGCTCCCTCCCACTTCCCAGACGGGAGGCCCGGAGTGCCCGGCACTACTTACTAAACACATGGAGGTAGGTGCCATAGGAGTGCCACTCAATGCCATTTTCCAAAATGTGGCACCTGTACAGGCCTCGGTGGCTCATGTTCACCGATGGGAACAAGAGCTCCCCATTGCTCTCGGGCCAGGCGTGGAACTGAGGGGGCCACGTGAAGTTGCCTTGGAGGATTCGCCACCAGGTGATGTTAGGGCGGCTGCTGAGGAGGCTGATGTTGAGCAGGCACGGGAGGCGGGCCTCCTCCCCCACCATCACCTTCACCGATGGCGGGGTCCGGTCTGTGCACTGGCTCTGGCCTCCTGGGCCTGCAAAGAGGCGGGTGGCTCAGGGACTGTGGATGGGGACACAGGCTCCAGCCCCGGCCTCTGCAGCTGCGGCACTCCTGGGGGTGTGGGGGTGTATGAGGGCCCTCCTGGGGGAGGAGAGGGAGGTGTGGGGCACAGCGGACGCAGGGTGTTGGGACAGGAAGTGAGGGGGCACCTAAGGAAGGAGAGAGAGGAGAGGACATACCTTGCGGGGGGGGGGGTGTTGAGGACGTCCTGGGAGGGGGGGAAGACACCTGGATGGTGACACAGTGCCACCTCTTGCATGTGGATACTTGGTTCCCTGGTGCCCTGCCCAGGCAGCAACTTCCAGAAGCAGTTTGGGCATCGCCTCCTCCTGAAGGCTTTCCTGGTCTCCAGCCCCAGCCCCAGCCCCAGCCCAGCCCCACACTTGACACTATCTTTTGTCATTTTCAAAAAACCCTTAGAAGAAGGTCATCTCCTCATGCTGTTTTTCAGGTGGGACAGCAGAGGCCCAGGGCAGCAGGGTGGGGGCGGGGGGGGGGGGTAGGAGAAGCCATCTTCCTGCCAGGTTGGCTCTGCCTTGTCTTGTGTCTCTGAGCCCGCCCCTTATTCTCTGTAACTTGCATGTGTCAGCCTGGGGTCAGGGGTTGAGTGTAGTCCTTGGGCTGGGGGTTAGGGGAGCTTCTCGGCAGTGTGGGTGGCTGGCTGGAGGGAGCTGGTGGCTCAATCCCCCCTTCCTCTTCCCTCCCCGGGAACCCCCAGCTATCAGAGCTGCTCAGCCTCTTCTGGGAGGAAAGCAGGGAGTTGAGGAAGAGGCAAGAAGGAAGATGTGGGCAAAGAGGCAGCAACCTCAGGGGCAGGGGCTCCTTTCCTGGCTCCCAGCATGATCTTGAGGCAGCAACCTCAGGGGCAGGGGCTCCTTTCCTGGCTCCCAGCGTGATCTCGGGTGACCAGCTGCCTCTCTGAACTCGTGGGCCAAACAGGTGGTCGTAGCCTGACAGACAGCTGGCAGAGCTGAGGGAGGGTGGTGTCAGGAGGCACCCCTCCCCCCGCACTGAGAAGGGGCTCCCTGTGCAGGGGGTGACTGGGACTCCAGGCAGAGAAAGGGAAAGCTTTTCTTCACTCTGAAGCCGAGTGCGCCCCAAGGTCCCCTCCTGCCCCCAGCTCTGAAGCTCAGTCAAAGGCAGCCCTAGTTCCTCATTTTGAGCCCAGGGGACAGGGTAGGGAAGGCACTCGGGCTCAGGCCTCCCTCCACGAGGCGGTGGGTGCCCCTTTAACAGTGCTGAGCCCCCTCCAGCCAGCCGCCCTAGGCCAGTTTGAAACCATCTAGCCAATAGACGTGTGCGGTTTCTACAGAGGCCTGTCCCAGGTCCCCTCCTGCTCCCCTCTCTGTCCCCTTCCTGAAGCCCTTTTCTCTGCCCGTGCCCTCTCTCCAGCCTCCGCAGTGCCCCCTCCTCTCCCAGGCGCCCGCCTGTCAGCCACATACCCAGGCCAGCAGCACAGATCAAGAGGAGGAGGACAGTGCCAGGTGGCGGGCCTTGCAGGACGCCGGGACCCCCAGGCATCTTCTCCCAGCCGGTTCTTTGGTCTGGCTTGCAGCAGTCCTGGGGTACCAGACCCCACCTCTGCAGGCCCCGAACTCCACCTCACTTCCTGCCCAGCCTCCCGGAGATGGGCTCCACTGGCCCCGCTGCTGGGCAGCTCCCGTCAGTGTGTGGGTCCGATGTGAGCTGAGAGGAACTGCTGCCTGCACCTGTGCTGGCCACAAGTCCCCTGGGAGGAGGGTGCTTGGGTGGGGGAAGAGGCTAATTCGGGGTCTGGCTCCTTATTGGGTGCCTGCTGTGTGCAGGCAGTCAGGGAGAGGCTCTGAGCTTTCTTAGTCTTAGTCCCTACTGGCCTTGGGCAAACCTGTGCCCAGTTGGACACTCTGTACGCTCCCTTCGTGGGGTTGGAAATAAGGGTGTAAAGGCGAGGTGTGGCGCATAGACAGCACTGACCCTGTCACATAGTAGGTGCTCAGTAATGGTGCTCAGCATGTTCATGAGGAATAAGTGAGACAAGCCAGCGGGCTCTGTGACTAAGTGGTGACTTTCCTCCCCAAGCCTTTTGTGGTCGTTAATCCTCACCTGATGGTGTTGTTTTCATTGATTTTTAGAGAGTGGAAAGACAGAAATATCGATGAGAGAGAAACACATCGACTGGTTGCCTCCTGCATGCCCCCAACCCGGGGAGGAACCTGCAACCAAGGTTCTGTGCCCTTGACCAGAACTGAACCCAAGACCCTTTGATCTGCAGGCCGACACTCTATCTGCTGAGCAAACCCATTGATTTCTTTAGAGAGAATGAAAGGAAGGAGGGAGGGAGATATATGCATGTGAGAGACACATCCATTAGTTGCTTTCCAAACTCACCCTGATTGGGGCAGGGGATCAAACCAACAACCCAGTTAACATGACTAGGAATCGAAACCATGACTCTGATGTGAGGGCCGAAGCTTTAGCCACTGAGCCCACCAGCCAGGGTAAGCCTTGGCATTTTTAATCCGAGACTAGGATATCTCTCTGGTGTTGTGACATGGGATGTTCCCGGTACCCAAGGAAGTAATAGCAACGATGGGCTCTTTCTCGCATTCTTTCATTCAGCCTCCCCCCAAACCTCAAGCCCCCCTCCTTTTACAGAGGGGGAGATTGAGGCCCAGGGAGGGAATGCTGTCACTGTCACCTGTCTGGTATTACACAGTCTGATGATGGAGCGGGTTCTTTTGAGTATTATTTTAGGTCAAATGGGAGGAAAATGAGGTTTGAGGGTAGGGGGGGGATGATATAAAATTGAGATGTTTCTGAGCAGTTAGGGGACCATCACACACACACACACACACACGAAAAACTTTTCTTGCAGGGAGATTCCTGGTAGCAAAAACTGGGAAGCGAAATGATAAGCCCATGCATGGAGAATGGATGCATACATTGTGGTGCAGTTAGCCGACAGAGAAGCACACAGCAGGAGAAAGGCGGGACCTCATGTCAACAGGGCTACAGCAGAGAAAAAACATAAACAAAAAACGAAGATGAGAAGATACAGTAGCATGATATGGTTGACTTGTCTTCAAAAGGCAAAACAGTGCTGTGTGCTGTTAGGGACGTGTGGTCTATAGTCAAGGTGCAGACATAACGGTGCAGGGGAGTGACACCAAGTTCCTGAGAAGGCCTCTCTGGGGGAAGCCAGGGGATCATGACCGGGAAAATTACACAGAAGGCTTTGCCTAAATTTTGTCATGCTTTTTTTTTTAAAGTATATTTTATTGATTTTAGAGAGGATGGGAGAGGGAGATAGAAACATCATTGATGAGAGAATCATTGATTGGCTCCTGCACGCTCCCTGCTGGGGATCAAACCCACAACCCAGGCATGTGCCCTTTGCAGGAATCAAACCTGGGACCTTTCAGTCCGCTGGCTGACGCTCTATCCATTGAGCCAAACCAGTTAGGGCTTGTTTTCTTAAATTAGGTGGTGGGCCTAGGAGTCTTTGTTACACTATCATGTACACAGTTTTTGCTAGCTTGAAGTATTTCATAAATATTTTAAAAAAGCAACTATATGCTCACAGAAGAGCATGGCCTTCAGGAGTCACTATTCCTGGGTTTGAATCTCAGCTCTGCCAACGGGCTGGACGTCTGAGCTTGTTTCTTCTGTAATCTGGGCACAATCCCCCCACCTTGTGAGGCTGAGATAATATCAGTGTTTAGCACAGGGCAAGTTCCTCTTTTCTGGCCAGGAGGCTCTCTACCCTTTTCTTCAGCGACCCAGTTGTTCTGTTGGGACCCGGGTGTATATAGCAGGTCATCAGCCCCTCTTGCTTTATTTAGCTCCTGCTTGTGGTCTCCCTCCTGAGGAGGAAGCCTAGAATCACAGGCTGCAGCCCTAGAAATTCACCTCCTTCCTCACCCATCAGTGGCTGACTGCCCTCCAGTGGCCAAGAGGCGCAGCTGCGGGACTGCTGGCCCTCCTTGGCCTGTCTGGGCGTCTGCATCTTCCATCACCCAGCACCCCTTATCTCTGGAGCTGTGCATGGGAACCAGATCCTTGGCATTTTGTTCTCATGACAACTCTGGGAAATGTCTTCAATCTCAGTGGACGAAAGAGGTGATTGGGGCCAGAATGAGACGTTGGGCATTTCCATCCCTTACAGGGACAGTGCATCTTAGTAGACTGGCTTTGCCACTCCTTAACTATGGAATATATTACCTCACCTGTGACTCACTTCCCCCTTCTTCAAACTGCGGGTGCTTTTTGGCATTTTCACAGGGTTGCAGTGTTAACTTACTGAGCGCCTTGCATGTGGTAGGTTCTGTGTTTACTCAACAGTTTCCAGCACTGAGCTGGGATGAGGGTAGGAATCTGATTTGGTCTTTGAATGTCCTGGCCTTAAGCTGGGTAACACTGAGCCACAGCACCATCTCTGCAATCCCCCGGGAACCAGCAGTGCTATAGATGACTGGAAGGTTCAGAGGAGTTGCACAGAATTAGGGGCATTTTTGCCATCCTACCCCATTGTTTGAAATTCAGGCTTGGCACCAGAGTGGGTATGATCGTCACTTGGACTGGGGCCTTGTGCAAGCCAGATCCGCTTTAGTTCTCCCCAACCAGATAAGGCTGGTCACTTGGAACAGTAATGGGCCTTTTCCAGGATTGCTCATTCCTATGGTGCTCACTGTGTGCCTCTGGCCCAATCACAGGCAGAGCTCCTGCTCCATTGGCACCAAGAGCCCATCACCATGCAGGACCAGTGAAACTATGCCAGGAGACAGTACTCTGCCTTTGCAGGCACCAGCCGGCCTCCTTAGTACCTATTACAACTCTAGGGCAGGAACATCTAGGCCCATTTCAGATCAGGGCCTGTAGCCACAATGCAAAAGTGAAGGCTCAGACAGGACCACCCTGCCCACAGACTAGGAAAGCAAGTGCAAACCAAGCACACTGCTCAACCAGAGTTGGAAGAGCCACTGGGAGTCTGGGTTGTTCCCGTCCACTTCTTTCCAAGTTAACATCTCAACCCAGCCCTCCCCTCTCCCCCAACTGTTTAGCAGGAGACAGAGTGCCACTTCAGCAACCCAGGCCCCAGCTGGGGCCACTGCTTGAACAGCATCTTCTTTCAGCTTCTCATTTTCTGAGATTTGCAAAGCCAGGGTATGAATGAAGTCCAAGGGTTTCCAGATCCTGGCCCGCCCAGCCATCTTGCCCCTTGGGGCAGAACTGGGAAAACTGGCTTTAGGCTGTAGCAGCCACAGCCACCCAACACCCCTGGCTCCTCGTTCCTCATGGGCCCAAATGGAAGAGGAGCAGACAATCAAGAGATCAATGCCAAGATTATGAACGAGGCAATTTATTAACCCAGCATTTGTTCTAATGCTTCTTGTTGGCAGCTGCCACCTGTGGGAAAGATGGAAGAGTAAGATCAGTCCTGGTGTCCATGTTCTGGCACTTGGTGATAGTTACCCACAGCCGATACCAGGCATCCTGCTTTGTGGTCTCACATGTATTCACTCTCCTTGTCTAATCCTCACAACCCCAGGCACCTCTTCATTTTACAGAAGTGTCAACAGGGGCTCAAGAGCACTGGGATGGGATTCCAATACTGCAAATGCCACCATACACACCGATGCCTGTGCCAGGCCCTGCTCTGGAAGTTTTCCTCTCCTCTCAGGCCACCCAACTCTCAGAGGGCGACACCTTCCATCCCTGACACTTGACGTTAAGTGACTAAACACTCCAAGGTTCCCAATAGGCCTGGCACAGAATGAAGGAAACCAATATGGGTTTATGCCAGGCCCTAGAGGGCTCCCCCTGCTTGTAGATCACGGAATCCTAACCACCACACCAAGGTAGGCAGGAGCAGATTGCTCCACAGATATGGAGACTGGCTGCAGCTGAAACAACTGCCCCAGGATGTCCAGCCTTGGTCATCAGGATGGAGACCTGAATTCAGGCATGTTATAATTATCGGAATTGCACCAAAAGGTTGATGAGACTTGGACTCAACAATCTCATGCCCATTCAGCATGAAGAGTAGGGAGACATTGAAGCCAGAATCTGTGCAAGGCTGTTACCCTGTAGGGAAAGTAGCCCAAATGCATCACAGGGTTGGGTTCTCTTTACCTCAGCTCCAGCAAGCCACTCAGAAATGCTTTTCTCCTGCCACCCCCAGGGAAGGCCTCCTGACCCCCACCAGCCTGGACTGTGCCCTTCAGGGAAATCCTGATCTGACAACGCCCAGGCAGTGACATAGGGACCCAACCCTAGCCCTCCCCCAGGCCTCACCTGCCCTGCGATTCTGTCCAGATCTCTCTGTCCCTGAGGTGTCAATTTGCGGCCCCTGTGGGGAGAAAAGGGTCATGAACCACGCCCCCCCCCCCCCCCCAAGTTAGCGCAGGTTCTCAAGCCCTTCTTCCGGATCTGAGTCAAGCTTTCCCAAAAAGCCCCTGGCCACACGACCACATGCTGCCAGCCAACTCCTACCGAGGACCCCAGTGGGCTGCATTCTAACGAGCTTGGGGCAGGAGTGGGAG